ATACACTTTCCTGTATGTTTGTTATTTTTGCCAGCAATCTCTGATTTGGTTTGAAGTTTTTGCTTACCATGTAGTGAAATGGGATGAGAGGATCTCAAGCATGTTATGTTCTTTACAGGAACCTTTCGTTAATATTCCAGACGAAGTAATTCGAGAGGCTTTGAAAGTACTACTTGGTATTATAAATAAGTTAAACCTTTCCTAGTAATGCCATTGACGTTCTTTTTCTAGTATGCTTATCTGATTCTTTTTTCCTTGTGCCATCTCAGATGTTAATAACCACCCAGTCCTAATTCACTGCAAACGTGGAAAGGTGTGCAAATATTAGTTAACATCCTGTTTCATCATTTTTACAGTCTGTTAATCAACTTACAAAAGTTTTGGCAAATCTTTCAATCTTTGCTTTGGATGCTCTGCAGCACCGCACCGGTTGTCTCGTGGGATGCTTAAGGAAATTGCAGAGATGGTGCTTAACTTCCATTTTTGACGAGTACCAGAGATTCGCTGCTGCCAAAACTAGAGTGTCAGATCAGAGGTTCATGGAGTTATTTGATATTTCCAGCTTGAAGCACTTGTCAATGTCATTTTCATGTTCAAAGAGACAATAACAACAGTATAGTTGCTTGAAAGAAGTTTTTTCTTGACTTTCATCTCCGGCATTCATAACCACCCGTGAGGAAGGGAAGTTTGATTTAGAGCCCGAAAAGATCAAAGTTTAAACTTTACTGCCCCAACGTGTGTTCTGTTCATTTTCATCAAAAGATTGAGCTTTACATTCCTTCTGTCGTGCTACTATATATACCATTATTAATTTGTTAAGTCTTGTTGACCATACACCTTTGAAATGGTGGGTGGAGTTATCATATCTCCAGTGCATTATCATACTATCAGGTCATAGGAAAAAGCAATCATAAGAAAATCTCTCTTTGTTCTAAATTTTCTCTTTGATATTGCTTAAGTTACATGTTCCAGATTTAGTTCACTTGAATAATGAGATTTTATTTTTTTTCCATTTCACAACAAAACCTCATTCTTTATTCTCTGAAGTTTCTATACCATTCCGGTTATGAGATTAGTTTCACAGTGCACCAACAAATTTAGGGTTTATGCCTCAAGAATATAAATTTAGGGTTTCAAATTGCCAAAAGGAATTCATCAGACTCCAATCCATTCACATTGGCTTGTCATGGTTGATACCCATGATCGCCAAACTATTTGTTCTTTTTTTGGGAATTTCTCGGTTAGATTTATAAACAGATCTAGGGATTGTTCAGAGAAATATTCTCAAAAAAAAAAAATCACTTGTTTTAGTTTTTTTTTAAGACAAATCAATCAAAGAAGAAAAAAATTAAGCATATGAACTTTGGAATCATATTCACTAACCAGAATGCCAATTCAAGTTCCCTACAAACAAAAGAACCAATTCAAGTTCCCCAAAAACAAGAACGTAAGAACAAATCAAAAGAGATTTCATAGAAATTAAATGGAGATTTGGACGAGCAACAATCGAATCGTCAATCAAGAGAAATGGACGACTGAAACGATATCTCGGCCGTTGATTTTATTCTACCTCGTTTATTTCTCAATGAAGAGACACTTTTTTTCAGTCTCCCCATTCTGTAAAACAGAACCGAGGCGCCACTAAAAGAATTTCTTAAATCTGAAGCATAAAACTTCACAAGGAAGCACCACCAAAATAGCCCTAAGAACAAACAGAGAAGAAAGAAGATTCTACAGAAACCCATTAAGAGAAAATCTTCAAAAACCATGAAAACATGCTAAGCTAAAAGTAGAAAACTTTACAAGAAAGCACCAAACAAAAGATAACAAATAGAGAAGACGATTCAATTGAAACCCAAAATAAAAGATCTTCAAAGGTTTTAAGCCAACCCAGAAACAGAGTCGACCTAATCACAGTAAAGCTGGAAGCTCTGCAAGCAATGAAGGCTTAGGGATGCACTCAATGAAGCGAGTTTTTTATAGAGCTGCTCAGGAACCCTATATTAGAAATCCTTTTGATGTTATTTTACCATACTGTCCATTAGATTCTGGGCCGTTATGGCAGATGTCATCCAGGGGGTAAAGTAAGGCCCACCCACCTAGGTATGATGTGAGCTGTGATGAGATCGAACGGCTGGAAGTGATTCAACAGTTAGGGTCTACCGTAGATTGATCAAACTGATCCAACCTTCTAGGGTTTCATAGTTCCCATCATCAAAAATCCATTTTCCTTCCATCTCTCTCTCTCTCTCTCCTGCTCTCTCTAACCTGAGCTCTATTAACATTTATCTCCATCCCCATCTTGTCCTTTCTCTCAGTAATTCAGCTATTGGAATTTCAAAAAGGAATCTTGCAATTGAACAATCTTGTGCAAAGGTGCCTACTTTCAGCGTTTTGTATTTGTAAGTATCGACTTCTAATCTCGTTTTATCCATAATTGAGCTCGAGTTCTCCTTGAAGACGCTTCGAAAATTGAGGCTTTGATATTCGTTCTCTACCGGGTACATGTTTGCTTTTGTTACTATAATTGAATAGTTAGAATTGTGTGTTGTGAGAAAAGAGTCTGCAAATTATATGGGGAAATCTGGAGGGAGGAAAAAGAAGGGTGGGTTTAACCAGGTGCCAACTGATTCTGTTAGTTCGTCTACACCAAATGCTAATGGTGTGGTTGACTTGGACTCTTCAATCTTTCTGAAAAGAGCTCATGAGCTCAAAGAAGAAGGAAACAAGAGGTTTCAGAACAAGGACTATGTGGGTGCTCTTGAGCAGTATGATAATGCTCTTAGGCTTACCCCCAAAACCCACCCGGATAGAGCTGTGTTTCACAGCAATAGGGCTGCTTGTTTGATGCAAATGAAACCTATTGATTATGACACTGTTATTAGTGAGTGTACTA